GCACCGGGCCACCCACCACGCAGCAGCCCCGGCCCAGCGGCCCAGGTCCTGCTGGACGTCCCACCAAACCACAGCTGGCCCAGAAACCCAGCCAGGATGTGACCCCCCCCACCCCCGCCGCTGCCGGGGGACCCCCGCACCCCCAGCTCAAGTAAGGGGACCTCTATAGCAGCCTTGGCCTTTGCTGCTCACAGTGGGCACTGGCCCCCAGTAGGTCATCCCCAGATCCCAAGGAAAACCAGGTCTCATCTGCCTGAAAAACTCTTGCCAGACTGGGCCACACACCCCCATGCATGCATACACACACACACACACACACACACACACACACACACACACACACACCAACTTACTAGACACACACACACACACACACACACACACACACACACACACACACACACACACACACACACGTTTGTCTGAATCCCAGCAGTTGAGGGAAGAATCCCAACATCTCCACTTCCAATTCAGGATCCTCCTCACAGGCCCTGGGAAAGTCCCCATTTCAGGCCTTTGGCCCATCCCAGGAGCCTGACTTGACCCACTTCCAGTGCCTCATCCCAGCTGATCTCCCATCCCAGCTGATCTCCCGGCAACAGCCGCCTCTCAACCATCCCTGAACTCCTGCAAGCCAATTTGTATCATTTCACTCTTTTCAGCCTCTCCTCAAACTTTCCCTAATAGTCTAAGCTCCTTTCTGGTCCATTCCCAAATCCTTCTGGCACTTCATCAGCCAACCCTTTCTGTTTCTTCTGGTCCATTCTATCCCCCTAGCCCTTGGCTCAAAAGTTCTCCCCACACACACACACACACACACACACACACACACACACACACGTTTGTGTAAATCATGCAAACAAACTGGGAAAATCCAATCCATCTTCCCCCACAACTTTGCTACTAAGCAGTAGTACATCACAGGGTCTTTGCCTCCTGTGGTTTCCTGCCCCCCACCTCTGCCCTCTTTTTGGAGACAGAATCTCATTATGCGGCCCTATCTGGCCTAGAACTTGCTGTGTAGCCTGGACTGGATTAGAACTCAGAGGCCCACCTGCCTCTGCTTCTTGAGTGTTGGGATTGCCAGTGCACACTCCTTGCCTGGCTTTAGTTTTGTTTTGCACTGTCCCACAGCAGATGCACAGTGTAACCTGTACTCTGTTGGTTAACAGAATGTTTCTAATAATTTGCAACCAGGTTTTTGGTTTTTGTACTTTGTCGCTTGTGTAGCCAAGCTGACCTCAAAGTTCAGGTCTTCCTGCCTCCTAAATTCCGGGACAAACAGGTATGTGACACAACACTTGGGGAGGAGAAATAATTTGAGACACTTTTTATGAAAGCAATCGTGGATTAACTAACTAAATTCATGTAAGTTTTAAAGACAAAGCTAAGATTTCTACTTGAGATACTGAGGGGTCTCAGGAGTTATGTCTGACATCCTCAGACAGGAGGAAAATGTGGGTGGCAGGCACGAAAGACACAAGACATAACCTACAGCTCCTTCCTTCTCCAGGGAAAACACCTGTGTACACAGGTACCACCAGGGCCTGAGGAGGTGGCTCTTGGTGACTCATGGGAAGAACAGACAATCATTGATTTTTTTTTTTTAATTGTTAAGACAGG